GTGTGTGTGTGTGTGTGTGTGTGTGTGTGTGTGTGTGTGTGTCTGACAGAGAGTGTATGGTGTTTCGGTGGAGCTGTCTCAATGTATTTAGGTTAAAGCAGTTTTTTTAAATTCCGGTTTGTGTCAGTCACCTTGTATGCGCATAATTTTGGTGTGTGCATGAAATAATGCACGCGCATGTATTTTAATGTGTGTGTACTTTTGTCTGTGCATGTGTGAGGGGAGCAGAGAGACTCCCTGCTGGCCCCAGATGGTCAGTCTCTCCTTCCTCACCAGCTAAGACCAGTTTCACTTGTCAAAGTCACTGCTGATGAACAATCTGTGCACGATATGTGACCACAGTTAGAAAAAAGAATTAAATATTAAATAAAAAAGTAAAGGGTAAATATCCATCCCATTTTTATATATCGAGCCTAGACTCCTGTCAGAAACCCCTTTTTGTTTTCTCTTACGCTGTACTGCATCTTCACCACTAGATGGCTCCCCAACACTTGCCTTTTCCTCTAATGTGTGCGCATCTGTGTGTATGTGTGTGTGTAAAAGAGCCGGCTGCTGTGATCCTTCTAACCATGATTAATGGCCCCATTCAAAGGTAAGGAGCTTGGAGGATAACTTCTTTTACTGTAAACCACAGTGCTGTGGCATGGGGAGCACTCCCTGCACTCACCGTACCAGAAAGATGAGGTAAATAGCGCTGGGAAGACGGGAGGCAGCAAGATATGGAGCCAGGGAGGATGTATGCATGTGTGTTTTAACATGTGTGAGCCATTGAGAGGAGGAGAGGCTACACTTTCTAGTAGAATGTCTATTATTAATATACTGCATGTGTTATTAATGAGTGTTTTAAAGTACGTATAGGCACAAATGTGTCCCATACATATTTAGTGAGTGTCATGTGACCTGACTGACGTAAAAAAAAAAAAAAAAAAAACCCTGCTGGTCTCTGAGTTCTCTGCGGTCACACCTCTACCAATTACTTTATCAAGTCTGACTGCTTGTGCGTATGTGTCTGTGTGTGTGCGAGTGTGTATGTTCACACAGCCCCCGGGGTGCAATGATGGAAGCAGACGCCTGCTCTTTCACTCTCGGCAGGTGAGAACATATTCATCACGGAGGCCTGCCAACCCTGGCGACACCCTGACTGTTACTGACAGTCTGCACCGCGGCTGCCCTTTGTCTTGCTTTTCCCGCAGATATTCTCTTCAAACTAAACTAAAACCTCACAACCTCAACAGTCACCTAGATGGCTGACAAGTGATGGTTAATAGTAATGGCTTTGGTTTTACTGTGACCAGTTATGATAGCCACCAAGAAGTCAAGGAATTTTATAATACAAACATGACAAGATGGGATTTTCAACAGTGTCTAATAAGACATATGGAATCTGATTGTAAAATAATTTACTAGAATAGTAAAGCCTTTGTAAGTTAATGACATGCTTATGCAATGACATCATGCAAAAACAATCATGCATAAGAGCGCCCTGGGAGCAGGGCATTATGGATAACTTGGGGTATTTACACTCACACTCCTTGGACATCCCGACTTCCAGGCACTTCTGCAGCCGACAGTACTGGCAGCGGTTGCGGGTGACTTTGTTAATGATGCAGTTCTTCTCCCGGTGACAAGTGTACACCATGTTCTTCTGGATGCTTCTCCGAAAGAAGCCCTGTGTGAGAGAAGGATGGAGAGATGAGGCGATGAGAAGAAAGAGAAAGAAAAATGGCCAGCAAATTGACGGTCACTGCAAACAGAGCAGCCAATTGCTAAATTACTCTGCAAATATAATTGTGCTGTTTACCCACTTGAAACCGCCAGTTATCTACCAACATCACTGCTTTCATTATGTATTTTGGTTACCTTTTGCAAATATCTAGCCCATGTTTACAGTCTCCCCTTTCATCCAGTGCCAAACAAAACACTCCTCACTGACTCACGAGGTTGAAATGTATTAAATTATAGCAGGCCATATGATGTAGAAGGAGAACCAAAACCCCACATTTCCTTTTTCAATATAACTGGATCAAAACAAATCAGAGAATACATTTAAAAGTTTGGTTATATGAAGCAAAGGATAAATTCTAATGAGCTTATGTTTGGTCACTTGGCTGAAACGAAAGATTCTTTTGGAAGACAAAATATGTTTTGCACAAAAGTGAGACAGGATCCGAGCAAAAATATGCCTCCACACAAAACCCACATCCCTTAGTAATAATTTAAAAATTCTCTCTTTTAAAAGCGGCTCCACCTGCCAAAAATAAGCTCAGAAGATTGGGACATAAAATAACTGAGGAGGAAAATTTGAAGTGGGGTTTCTAACAGGAAGGAAATAAAATCACAATATCGTCAAATGAATCATGTAACCTGTCTTTTGTGATTTTATGATATCGAGAACTAAGAAGTGTGTTGCATATAAACAGCAGTAACAAACCAGCTGGAACACCATTCATGACGACATTCTACTCAATTCCATTCAACCCCAATAAAATCAATGTTGACCTCTGTGCCCTTATTGTTTAACATTCCTAGTGTGTCAGAAAGATAAAAAGAGGTTGAAGCAAATCAACCACAACCGAGTGAGCTCTCAGCAAGCACAGGCCAGGGACAAATGTTATACAGGTCAATGTCAGTGTTGATGTGACGCATTGGGACATGGGTTATGTTTTGCTGGGTAGGAGGGTGGGTGGGGTCGGCTGCGGGGTGGGAGGGACGTGGGTGCGGAGTGTGGTGCGGTGGGGTGGCTGCCACAGAGCCCCATCCCATGCCGGGGATTAGCTCTGCTAGCCGACAGATGGCCGGTGGACCTAAGCCCGCAATTTGTCCTTCCCGGATCACCGGCCTCTTGCCTTGCCTCCCACTCGCCATCGAGCTGTGGAGATGATTCAGGCGGCCTGTGCTGAACTCCGAGTGCGTACACTTCTTCATGCATCTGTTTGAGCTGGTGCTGCCAGTGTGTGTGTGTGTGTTATGGCGCTGTTCACACATGGCAGACTTTGTTTCCAGCTGGTGGAGGAAGTGTTTCGGCCCTAAGACGGTCACCTCATCTAACCTTCTCCTCTTGTCATCATTGAAGTCCTACATTTGTTTAAAAACCTGCCGTCACATTCCATTCATTATTAATGTTGGAGAACAGCAGATACCTGCAAACTATTTTCAGAAAACCTCCCGGAGAATAAAGAGGAAAGAACCAGACCTGTAGGTTGACATTAATTCCAGCTGCTGATGCTAAGGGGCAAGTCTGCAGCCTTTGTGTGCCTGTGTGTGTGTGCCTGTGTGTATTTGTGTGTGTTTGTATCATGTCCTCTTTGATCCAACAGTGCCCCGACCCTGACCCCAATGTCACCAGGGGATTAACCTACTCCCTCCTGACACCATGAGGCTCAGGTGCCCTCTCAAAGCACCTCCTGATTGGCTGCTGCCGCCGGCTCGTGGGCCAGTTGATTGTTCCTGACCACCCCCCTCGCCACCGATCCACCTCCTTCTATTAAGAGTCATTGCTTCCTGCGGCCCTTAAGCCTCTTTTTGTATCACCGCTTAATCCACCCGGCGACAAGAGCCCTCAGCGGGCCTGTCAGCCGCCCTGCAGTGTTCAGAGATGAGAGAGGCAGCACGAGGGAGGGAGGGATGAAAAAGAGCACGAAACAATAACAGTACATATGTGATTGCATGTGCCGCTTGCTCTTCAATTCTCAGCCCACTACCTGAAAAACGTAATGAGCCTCATGCATTTGTTAGCAAGCGAGTTCTTGATCGCTTGTGTGCAAGGAACTGCTTTATTAAAGGGGAAGCGTGGGTGGGGTGAGGGGGGTTTGGGGTTGGAGAGTTCACAGGAGGAATCCTCTCTTAACATGACTTTCACACTACACTCAGATTAAGACAGCATTCCCAGCCTCCTACTGGGTCTGTGCATGTGAGTGTGTCTGTGCCCCTTCCACTAATACTAGCAACAATGCAGAAACGGCTACAGCCAACACATTCATAAAGATGGATGGTTGGTACAAGGGCCATCAGAAAAACATTTCTAGACATTTATGTAAGAGGTGGTAGTTAGGGGTTTTGGAAATATGGTCGCCTGCCTCCCATTGCAGCTGATAAGCAGGAGGTTTGTCTGCTTCATGCTCCTGTGCCTCTAAGACAAAAACATAAACACGACAGGGTGGCCATGCAAATTTAATGTTTAAGTGCTAATATCTGCAGGGGCAAAAGAAATGCAACGCTGGTGAGTATGTGCAGGCGGCAAAACTTAAACAACAAACCAATGAGCTGTCTCCCAGTAGCAGAGCTCAACATCCCCCTCCTGTTTCCTCTGTTCGCTGCAGCCCCCAAGAAACGTCTTTGTAGTTTGGCATGCTGCAGCAAAAGCAGACGCTGCTAACCCTCGACTTACCCCGGTCTCAGATGAGGCAACCATATACGTTCACATGCCTGTAGTGTTGAATTATTGAGCATGCTATGCCCAGTCATCTCCTCTGAAGTCAGAGATACGGTGAAGGCATCCTGAATTTTTCAAATTAGCACTGCGGCTGTTGAGTGGGCCGGCAGACGGCTCATGGACCGCGCACTAGCAGCTAGATGTCTGACTGGGGATGTTTTCGTAATTGGAGCCAACATTTTCTAACGATTTCTCCTAATGAGCTATTTACTAACCAGGATAACAGAGTCCAGTGGGGCAAGACGTGTGCGGACAGAGATTTAAAACAACTCATCTAAACCATTTATTTAGCAATGAAAAGAAAGGTCAACATGATCTTTGAGCTGAAACACTTTATCACAGATACACACACGCTGCAAATACAATGGACAGTTTTGCATTAATCAACTTTGATTTCACATTCATCGTTTTCCCTCTGTAGTTAATTTGTGTAATCTGATTCCATATTCAGTTTATCATTAAAGTGAATCCAGTTTTTTTTGTGGTTGAAGAGAAACAACCTCAGCCATAATATATCTTGGAAACAAATCATATTCAGCTGGGGAGACATGCAGAACACGCTGTTGGTTTGAGGAGAAAAATGTCAATAAAATCAAAACCGAAATCTGATGTAGCTGAAATTGTTATTTTAAACCTGAGATGCACTATGTGAATGTTTCAAGGCAGAGAGAGAGAGATTCAACAACTGGTGATAAAACCTATGTATCAAATTATTGTTTGTCATTGTTCTTAAATAATCTGTGCAGCACGTTGTCTACTGGCTGAAAGATTGAAACATCAGCGACGTCCCCGATGAACAATAGCCTCAAAAAGCTAATTACACTGTCAAGTCTGGCACGATTTCTGTGCTGTCGGAGGGAACAAGGCCGTGATCGCAAAGGAGAAACAATTAATTACTCAAGCTTACGGCTCATCTATTGTCTGCTTTTCCTTCTGTGTTTATCGCAGTGTTGCAGAGATTTTACCTTCCACTCACAACTGTGATGCCTCATGCATTCAATTTTTAAACTATAAATCAATAAAAGATGAATATTAATTTGAATATATAACATTTACTTCTGCTTAGATGTGCTTACAGGCTCATTTACGCTCAACGTGAGATACGTGTATTGCATAATAACAATCACACACAAGCTCTAATCAGGAGTTGAGATTAAACGTATTATTTCACTTATTACCCTGTTTAGATAATGACGAGCAATGTTCAGTGGCAGTAATACAAGCAGATTAGAGCTTGAAATGGCTGCAGACTTTCAAAGCTTTTGAATGCGTGATGCATAACAGCTAGTTAGGGTTACTGTGCAAAATAGCGAATATACATGTTTTAATGGTTTCAGGTTGAGACTATGCATTAGGTGGGGACCATCCTTACACACATGCAGACAAACATGTTCAAAGTTACAAGATTTCTCATGACCAACTCTCTTACCTTTTTGAACTGTTTTGAAATACTAAATTGTTAAGCTAAAGTAAAAGCAGCTAAACTCTTGTTTAGAAAGACGGACTATTATGAAACTGGATATTTCATTTTCAGGAAAAATGTGGCCCATCACACACTGCAGAGAGGAAACTAAGCAGCGCAGCCAGCAGCAGTTTGGTTTTCCCCAATAAAACAGCACAGGGGTCAGCTTTTATTTACTTTGTTAAATTTTTAAAAGTCACATTAGGGGAGCAGGTTAAGTTTCACAGAGCGCTCAGAGGGTTTGTGTTAAGTATAATATCTATCTATGTATGTATGTATGTATGTGTGTGTGTGTGTGTGTGTGTGTGCCAGTTTCTGAGCTTTGCCGTGCTCTCCTCCCTTTGTGCATTCTTTACTCCTTTCTCCCCCCCCCCCTGTGTTCTGGTGCACTGACCGTCTTTCTTTTGGTGTCAATGGGTTCAGCTGTAACCCCGTCTGCCTAATCTGCTACTCACTTCTTTCTCTTTCTTTCTCAGTCTGCCCTCTCACTCGTTCCTCTCCCCCTCTCCCTGCAGCCTCTCTCATCTCTGTATCATTTTGTCTGCATTTCTACATCCCCCCTGGGGTCCATGCCCTTCCTTATTCTTTCATATTGTTTGTTACTGCTACTACCCCCTGCCTTCTTCTCTGTGGCTTTTTCTCTCTCTGCTCTACTCCCCACTGCCCCTTTCCTCCTCACCGCTCCTGGTCCTGCACATATGGAAACACAGACCACAGTATTGGCTCTGAAGCCAATAAGTCAGAGGGTCTAGTAGGCACCTGTCACCATCAGCAACACCCTGCCCGTATTTATCCAACCACAAACTGCCTCCCCTATCTTGGTGTACAGAGAACAGTATGATTTACATACTGTGCTGTTGGGTAAGGCCACATTCATACTACTGCATTTTCAAACCTGTTCACACAAGCGTTTTGGCTGAAAATCGTTTTTTTTGCATAGATTGTACATCATGGAAAAGCATGTGGGTGGCAGTGTACACAGGAATCGCTCGAATAACAGCTCGTCTCCTATGCATTGAAGCAGTTGTATCTTTGTGAAATGCAGAATTAACTGCACAACAATTATTAGCAAACAGAGCAGCATTTCCAAACGTCTGCGTTTCCAGCGTAGTGTGAACGCCATGCATATCCGTAGCAGGGTTTATTTGTTTTCAAATGAAATGCAGAAGTGTGGATGTGGCCTAAGACTCTTCAACTGTGGAAATCCTCTTTGGCTGATTGAGGAATGCATGATTGCCAAGAAAGAACCAAAGAAAAAACAAGGTGGTTTCAGAAATGTTGACATTGCAGAGATATGAGGTGTGCACCTGGCGGTAACATTACATTAGATTCCACAGATCTCATTCCTATCCTCCTCTGAACTTACACAACTCTGGCTCAGAGAGTCGAGAGCAGTGAGATAAAGAGGCCTGTGTGCTCACATGAACAGGAGAGCATGTATGCATGCACAAAAGAACTATCGACTGATAACGGAGCAGATGGGGGTTATGAGGCCTCTTCAGCACCTGTGTAACACGGCTGTATTGATAACAGACAACCATTGTGGACACGTCAGCAAAGATATGTGTAGCAACAAGACTCGAAAAGGACAAAAAAACCTGCACGGACGACTAAGTTTCACAAACTGTACATGATACGGGGCAGGTCCCTCATACACGTTATCTTCTTTTTAAACGTACATACAGTATATGTGTCATAAGATGCTGTTCCAACTCGTTAAGGTCAGACTGGTGATTAGGCAGCTCAATAAAGCAATCAATAATGCTGGTAAATCATTCTCCATGAAGAAAAAGACAATTTTGACTTAATACATTAAACTAGCAAATTACTTATTATTTTCAGCACCTATGCCTTGGTTGTGAATTTTTCCCCCCAGTGCAAATCACATTAGTGTAACAAGATTGACGAACATCTTGCTTTATTGGCAGATGCAGAGAAAGGCCGGGAGTCTCACCTTGCAGCCCTCGCAGGCGCTGACACCATAGTGGTACCCTGAGGACTTGTCCTGGCACACGAAGCAGGGTTTGTAGACGCGGGGCGGCGGGGGAGGCGAGGGCGGGCTTGGCACTATCTCCTCTGAGCTGGTACTCTGGGTCTCTATTGCTGTGGAGAGGAAGGTGCAAAAAAGAGGGGAGTTAGCGAAGAAATATCCAGAGAGATACACTGCTGACGACATCTCAATCACAACAAGAGGGGAAGTAACTCTCTTTCTAACAATGTGTTCGGGGCAAGAAAAAGCTTTAAGAACAAGGAATACTTCTTCATCAGGCATTTTCAGATCCGCTATAATAACACGCATACATCCAGCAATGATCAAAGCAGCAATGAAAGCAGCCTCTGCTGTTTTTTTTTTACTTCTGAAAGTGGATGTTGTGTGTCTGTGAGTAACAGATATGAGATATTTTGCTGGCAAGGTTCAAAGGTTTTCTCTGATACAACGCCTGCAGTTGTGTTATTATTTTTTTAATCATGCAGGATGAGTGCTTGAAATTATTTAAAGGACAAATCATCACAAATCGTGAGCAGCAAATATGCCAGAGAAGGCAAAGCTTCTGTCTGCCTCTGACCACAAACTGGCCGCTTATGTTCTCGTTTCCTCAATTAACAGACAACACGACATAACAAACACAAGCACTTTGTAGGTGTCCGCATTTTGTTCACTTATGCACGGTAAACAAAGTGGGCTGGGATTGCGGGGAAGTAAACTGCTGCTGTTGCCTTCATGTAATATGTATTGGACTTTGACCTCAATATCCTGTGTGTTACAAAACAAGGCTCTTAAATCAAATACAAAACACACACATTCACAGAGCAGACCAGCACCATGTGGTCTGAAGGAAAACAGATGAGGAATAATGCGCTTTTACTGTATTCTCTATCTATCCATCGAATCGTATCAACCTAGTGTATCTATTGTATTATATCTATCTACCCTATCAGTATAGTATCATATCAGGTCTATTGTGTTGTATTTATCTACTGTATCTGACTTATCTATCGTTTATATCTATCATAGTGTATCTATCACATAGTATATATCCTACAGTATCACATCATATATATCTATCTATAGTATGTGTCTTATCTATCTATTGAATCTATTAAATCCATGAATCTGTCAATGTCAATACTTTACCTGATACTATACACAATTCTGTCAGCAAGTGTTGTATGTGCGATTTCAGACCATGTCCATACAAGAACATTATATGCCTGTGTGCATCTTTGCAGCCCCATTGCCCCACCCAGCATCATCAGCTCAGCAGAGGAGGGAGTGGGGAGGTTGACAAGCAGCTCAGAGCTGATGTGTAAATATGTCATCTATATTTAAGCAGAGTTTGCTGGTGCAGCACGACCGTACTACAGACGAGAACAACCTCCACATGCTCTTGCACTGGATCTCAACTCAACGCACACAAGGGTAATCGCACTCCACATTAGGCAAGGATGAAGTCTCTCTCTCACACACACTATGCTCCAATTGCAGTGTTGGTATGCAGATCTCAGTTTGACAATCTTCATGCACATGCAGCAGATGGTGTTGGGGAAAATAACATTCAGAACAACCAAAATAAACCAACCTGATGCACAGGTAGCAGATAGGCTTCCTGGAAAAAATAAATGGCAAGCAATGCGCAGCAGAAAAAAAAATCTAGCCTCTATGAACTAGCCTGCTATCTCAGCCGTCAGGAAAACACACCGCATATCCAAGTGGGTTTCAGGTGACAGGGACAGTTAAGCTGAACAGCAATAAAGCTCACATTGCAACACCTTACAGTGACACCCAATCAGGCCAGGGATATTAAGACATTTCATTTATGAGGCCCAGATGTCAGATGTCACTTTCACACCAGCTAGAGCCTTTTAAGTTCTTGGTGTAAATGGCCTGATATGGGTTAAGAGTTGAACGGGGGGATTAAGGGTTGTAACAGAATGGATTTTTAATAATGTTGAAGAGAAAAGGCATGACAGGAGAATTGAAACAATAAGGACCACAACTTGGAGTGAGACCCACTTACTATTTATTTCCAAAAGCTTATTTTTCCATTCAACCGACTTGTTTTGTGAAAACAGCTTTTTATACAGTAATAGCAGGGGGAAAGCTTTTTTAGACGATGGAGGGCGGAAATGAAGGGAGGAAAACAGGGATGCAAAAAAAAAGACGTAGGAGAGAGAGAACTATGATGCTTGAGCAATACACAAAAATACAAAACAGATGAAACTGGAACACACAGGGAGTAAAAGCAAGGCTGCATTACTTTTTCATGTTTCTCTCCCGGGTTTTTATATTCACTTATTTTACACACGCACACAAATCCAAGTCTTTGCACATCAGGTCACGTTTTCTAATAAATACGACACATCAACTCTTGTCATTTATGTTTTCAGAGCAGATTTGATACTGCCGAATGAGATCCAGAGAGTAGTTTAAGCCGTTTGGGATCAACTGGATCACATAAATTAGAAATGAGTAGTATTTAGCTCTCACACACACACACACACCTGTCCGGGTTCAATGTAAAGCCTATGTTTTACTTAAATTACTACTGAATTATGGAGGAACAATTGGGAGTGATTTTGTGATTTGGTCTCAACGTGACAAGAGGGTGAGTACAAGGACACACTGTAGGCAGTTCGCTTCTAATCAGTTTGAATTCTCATCTTGCCTCATGCCTGGGTGATGCCATCGTCACACTCATGTCAAACAAATTAAATGTAAATAGAGCAGCCTTTACGTAACATGGCATATTTTCTCATTAGCAAAAAAAGAAACCATTCACAATATTCAGTGCCTCTCTTGCTGTAGCCTAACTACAGCCTTGTGTTATTAGGGCAACCACGGACCTATTTGTCCACATTAAAGGTGCAGTCAAACACATAGACAAACAGATGTGCCACCCATACACATAAAATCAAAAATGGCATCCATATTGACATTTACGCAAGCTGAGGGTTTTCCTAGAGCCATTAGAGGAGCCTCGTTGGACACACATACACTCTCCTAATGAGAGCACCCATGGAAATCTGGGACAAGAGTCTGTGAGGGGGCTGGCGACTGTAATTAAATACAATGGCTGGCTTCTGGAGCCTTGTCAAGCTGAGGCATGGAGCAAAACAATGGCAGGCCTGTGGACAGAGAGGCAGCGTGGCTCAGCAGAGGACGGAGCTACTTAGCCCTTCAGCAGCCCTCACCCAGGCATTATTCAACACCAACCTGCATCCAAACTCTGATCAACACCAACCATCACTGTCTATTTTGTGCTCCACGAAGTTATAAACGCTCAAACACTGGAGGAACTGAGTCACACTCGCCTGGAGAGCTTCTCTCGATATCCTTGCAACATGTTAACAGTGGAAATCAGTGAGTCGGGCCAGGTTTCATGGCCAGAGCCCATCCAGTGCCGGCAAAAATCCCCACAGTAACTAATACATGAGCTATAGCTAGAATATCATTCTTTTAGCCAAGAGAGAGCCAGCATCGAGACACAATAATGCCTTGCTTTGCTCAGGGATACAAGCGCAGGAACCCGCAACCCTTGAAATAACGCTGAACTGAAAAACAATGAGGATTTACTGATAAGGAATCTACCGTAATTACATGACGAGGTGAAACCCAAACCGCACAAACCAAACTCTCACCACAATGGTTGTTAACCAGCAACGAGTCAGCCAGGTATGTTGTCAGACCCGTCCAGTCCCCAGGCCTCAGGTGTAACCAGCAAACACAAACTTGACACCAGACAACAGAAGTCCATTTTAAGGAAGTTGTGTCTGTGCAACATCTGACCACTGACTGTGGCAGAAAGGCCTTTTTCAAGTAGTAAAGTATCAAAAATTATTTTGCATCTGGAGTTGAATGTTCTTATTATTAATTGGTCTAAACAATGCACGAGTTGGTAGTAAATTAACAACAGATTTATCTCATAAAACCAATTCTGCCTGACAAATGTGTGTAATAAACAAGTTTAATTTATTTAGATTTCTCCTGTGATAGTCACATTTACACACAAGCATTTTAAACATGTCTGTGTGTGTGTGTGTGTGTGTGTGTGTGTGTGTGTGTGTGTGTGCAGCCCCAAGATATCTTAATATCTTAATGTACCATGGTGTGGTGTTCTCAAACTCAGAGCCAAAGCACCGGTGATTTAATTAAGCTCAAGTGTGAGTGGTCTGTAATGCCGCTCTTCAGATTCACTTTACATACATCATGAGCCACAAGTGCACTTAGAGCAGAGCTGCGCTATTGCAGCCACATCCTCTATAAGCAATTACCGCATGGCTAGACTTAAATGGACAAATATGCACAAGACTGAAATGAAATCTATTCTGATGATAAAGTAGCCGGAGCTGCAGTACTGACAAACATCTGCACCTCAAAGCCATCACAACCAAAAGACCATAGACCAAGACACACGTGTGCACGCGTGTGTCTGCGTGCACAAAGACACACACACACATAAAAGCCCACCGGCTATTATCAAGCCTCCAGACACTGGGCTGCCTCGGCACAGAGCTGCCGAGTAGTTTTTGAGGTTCAGCTCTAGGTTAGTCCTCGGAGATTTGATTACCTTCATCCCCACTGGTTACTGTGCCCAGCTGTGAAGCATATTAATGAGATTTCACCATCATTAGAGGGAGGCTAACTACATTAGCAGGCTGGCTGGTTTGTGGTAAAGGGAGCTGGAGAAAATGAAGGCAGAGAGGATGAAGGAGGAGAAGGACGGCTTTGACAGTGTCTTTCACTTTGTTGAATCCTACTCAATCACAGGCCATTGTGTTCATCTGGCTTCTATTAGGTTATTTGGATGAACTCACACGCACGCACGCACGCACGCACACTTGCCATGATGATGATACATAGAAGAGCATATAAAGGTCCATTTGTCTTTCCATGCAGTGAGTGTGCAGGAGAGACACCAGACAGACCACCATGCCACAGACTGCTGCATTAAGGCTCTCTTTGAAGTCGACCTAAAATAATGAAGTGGGACGGCCAATGGAACAGCTCCAGGGACAGAGACCGCTTTGCAAACCCTGGGAGTTGTAGGCCAATGCATCATGCATGTCCATAAAAACGACTGGCAGCGACTTGAGTGC